GATATGTGTGTATGAATGGGCTTGTAGTAAGAAAGCACTTTGAGTGCTCAAATAGAGTATAAAAGCATTATGTAAGTACCGGTCCATTTACCATACTCTTACAAGCCCATTACTGTTTCCTTATCCCACACGTGCATCACACAACTAAAGGCAGACTATTACACAATCTATTAGAGCAATTGGCTTCTAAAGTAAAGAGCATAAAACTTTTTATCCATTACCGTCTGTGCATGTTTATGGATGAAATACAGCCGTGCCTTTTTAATCGTTTATGATAAGGGACTCTGTGGAGAGCTCTGCAACAGCAAGAGAAGGTCTTAAATTTGGAAACACGTTCTGAAAGCAGAGTTATATTTTGGTTTGTTAGTGTTTCCAGCATTGTGCTGTAACATAAAATATTGTTATGGGTGTCACGGTTTTCCTTTGTTCATTGCTCTGTTTCTGTGCATGACTTATTTAACTTTACAGATGTGAGAGCCAACTGTAATTTGGCTTTTTGGCTTTTTCAAATGTGCTCCTCTGCCCTTCTCTTACAAATTGTGGCTCAGTGTCAGTACAGGCATACTGGATATTAGGTGCTGCCCCATCCACCACAGGACTAATGAGCTCGAATTAACAGTTTTACGCTCAATGAAACTAGACTTGGCTTTAGATTTTGGCCAGGAGCCCAAAAAACCACTGGGACAACATGCAGACCCTGAGGAGTAACTCTGAGTGTTACTGAACTTGCTGAACTAATGTTTCTCCCTGTGTTTACATATGCAGATGCGAGCTTATGTCACCCCGAAGACTGTGTTGACTGTAGCGGAAAGTTGTACTCAGAATTAATAATTAGCTCTCATTTCCCTCATTGTAAAAAAAAAAATGTGTGTCTAAAACACTGATACCTCTGACTACCTCTATTTTAGAGACTTTTAGGAACTGCTTTTAATTTTATAGTTAGTCGCAGGCAGTTAACAGCACTGTGCTTTGGAAATATAGGGTATCTGCCCTGTTCTTACAAGCCGCTTGAGGCCTGTACATCCACAGTGAAAAATTGGTCTGTATTGCCAGCACTAAGTCAGATCCATTCACAGTGGGTCGCCTTAATTCTGTTAAAAAAAAAATTTATGGATTGAATTTGGAGGTGTAGCCAGGTATAGGAAGCCGTCCACTTTGGTAGTCTCAGGATTCTATCGCTGCCTTTTGTGGATGATGTGGTTCTATTGACTTGATCAGGTGGTGGCCTCCAGCTTGCACTGGGATGGTGGTGGTGGAGTGTTAGGGGACAGGAAGTAGAATTAGCACCTCAAAGTCTGAGGCCATAGTTGTAAGCTGGAAAGATTTGGTGCCCACTCTGGGTCAAAGACAAGCTTCTGCCCCAAGTGGAGGAGTTTATTTATCTCAGTTCCAAGCATGTCTGACCGGGAGGAGGCCCAGGGGCAGACCCAGGATATACTGGAGAGACTATGTTGTTTAGCTGGCTTAGGAAAGTTTCATCTTCTTCATACCACTAACCCAGATGGATGGATGGATCCATCTGACTGAGGGAATAATTTTACTTTCCTTGGAAAGAGATCTAAAGCAAAAAGCTGATAGTCGAGGTTGCAGGTGAGCAAAAGGTAGTCTGCATATATGAGCACTGCACTGCAGATGCAGAGAATCTGGGGTATTAATGTCTAATTTATCAACATGAGTAAAATATATGTAATGTAGGATTAAAAAAAATGGTCAGTCATAGTTTATTTTAAATGTGTGTTCTATGATTATTCTCAGTCTTCGCTTTACACCTGCATTGACCATAACACACACGTACTTTTCGCTTTGCTTTCATTCTCAATTTTCCCTCCATTATTAACCTTTATTATTATTACCCCAACATTATTTCACTGCATAACTATGAAGTTCCATCACAGCTAAACACAATGCATACCCAGTCTGAAAATGGAGCAATAAAACTACAATTTAAGACCAATTATGGGGGGTCAGGTAGTACCGACTCTCTCCTTCTTTGTCTCTGAAACAGACAAAAATGGCCAGACTATACACTCATGTAGAAATAAAAATAAAAGACTCCCATTTACTAGTTTTTAAAGATAACAAAGCCAAATGAGTCTATATGAACACATGACAGAAAGATCTGCCACATTTCAGATCAGCCACTGCAAAAGAGGAAACTTGCACTGCATGAAAATGTTATTCTTCAAGCCCTGAAACCCAGCTTTGCTTACCTGAGAGACCACGAGTCATTGGTCATAGGACTACAGCTGATTGTGGCTGTAAAGAAGAGGTCAGTGAAATGATCTAATATCCACTATGAAGCCACATTTTTCTGCCAAAGACCAAGAAGCACAGTCTATGTGAGAAGACTCAAGTGCTTCACCCATCCTCAGTCCTGCAGTCTTTAGGTGCCATTAGCTCATTTACTTCATCTGTTTCCAGGCCCATTACCTCCAGAGAAAGAAATTGTTTCGGCAATCCTGCCAGACAGGACCAGCCAGCCCAAACATGGAGAGAAAACCCCAGTAATAGCCCCGGTTAAATAAAAACACTGATCAGGTATCCTGACTGGTGTGTCTCTGTGTCAGCCGAGGCCGCTGGACACAAAGTGGGGACATAAAAAAGACAAAGACTTGTGGATGAAAAGTCAAAAGGTAACAAACTGGCAGGGTTACGTCTCTGATTAGGATGATGCTTACATTTACATTTTGATGCCTACATAGCATTTTTACATGTTGCTTTTCTTCTCTTTTTTAATGTTTTGTGGTCCTGGCTGCTGTTTTTTGTGTGTCTCTCCTCCACCTCTCTGCATCATCTCCTCTCCTGCAGAAGGCTGCATGATCAGGTAAATTAGTAAAAAAAAATTCTTAGGACATTAACTAATCCATCACCGCTTGCCAACCTTCAGTCCTGGTCTTGTATTTACCTGAATGAACACAACAAACAACAATATTAAAAACTCCGTCCATCATTGGTATCTATAGCTTTTTGGTAAAAACACATCAGTACTCATTAGTGAGAACTAAAGATTTATCATATATAGTGAATCACTTTAGTTTTCCTGCATTTTAACCTGAAACACTAGTGGAATCCAGGGCACACTCACACTTCTGTCTTTTCTTAATGATTTGTGGAGAAAAACAAAGAAGTGACCCCCCCCCATTTTCTTCAAATTCATAGTCACTCATTCATCCCAAACCTCCCTTGCTCTCTCTCCCAAACTCCCACCCACCCTACGTACTCTCATTTCTTGGCAGCAAAGAGCAAAATAAATGCATCCCAACAGTCTGGGGGGTTAGAACAACCCATTTGCTTTAATGAGGTGATCCAGTGTGTTTTCTCTCCCTCTCCCCTTCTTTCCTTGTCTATCTCTCTCTCTCTCTGTGTCTTTAGCCAATTACACACTGTCCTGTTTTGCATCCCCCTTCTTTTTTTATGCTCACACTCATTTTCCCTCCTTCTTTCTGAAGGCCTCGGTGAGCCCTGATAGGCTTGCTGGGGATAAAACCTGCAAGTTGGGAGAGAAGAGGGACATTTTGGAGCAGGATGGCAAGAGGGACGGTGGCCACATACCTGCATGGAGTCCTTCTCCTGGCTCTGTGGAAACCCTCGCTGCAAGGAGGTGGGTCCCCTTTACTGCATGTGTGTGGCACCCAGTGGAGATCAGGTGTCACATAAAGTTTCTTTAGCATTTGTAAAAGAAATGCATGGACAGCTCTTTTTTTTTCTTTGTTTGTATGTTCTATGAGATCTGTGAGAGGTTTTGCATATATAAACTGGCTGCTAACAATTATTCTATTATTATACCGTCGATTTCCTCAGTGAAAGCACATTGTATTCAATGTCCAAAAACCTACTACAGAGCTAAATTTACTTGACTGAAGAAGCTATTTCTTAGCACCATGAGTGTAGCATCATTACCAACATGTCTGCAGCCTGTTCCCATCTCAATTCTGAAGAACTTAAAGTCTAAAATGGCTTTCTTAGTCAAATTCATTTTCAGCCTTCTGAAAATACTACATTGACCTTGCAGTCAACATGCCTTATATGTTCATAAAAAGTGCATTTTTTTCTTAACAATAAATCAAGAAGACATTGCTTTGTTGAGTGATTCTAAAATATTGCTGCTTTAACTTTCCAAATGCTAGTTTCCTCCCCCCTCATCTGTCTGGAAGAAAGTGCTGAAGCAGGTGAACGCGTAAATTAAGGATGACACACTTTAGACAAATAACTTCTCAAAGTCCAGGTGTATTTATTTTCTCACAGTCAGCTCCTGAGGCATGAGGTCTGGACAACAGGGTTATACTTAAAGCTTTTAATGAGGTGTTGCACCGTATTAAAAGGTTTAATTCAGACCGTGTGATCCAGACCTCATCCCTCCAAGATGCCTTTTCATTGTCTTGTCTGTTTAAGCTTTGAGCCGGCTGATCTGAAGAGGTTCCCCCTCAACTCTTCCTGTCTTGTTAGACGAGACATCCGCTGGTTTAAGAGCTGTTCTAGACTGTTGTGTAATTTGCATTCACTCGAGGTCAGGCTGAACCACTGCACGATCACTGGAAAGCAAGGAGATGGTATCTGCTGTTTAGCTTCTTTGTTTTGGTCTTGCTTGGGATCTCAACATCTGCATTCTTTGAAATGGTACCTCAAGCCAAAAATAAATTGAAAACCTCAGCACAGACTATTCAGGGTACAGCAAAAGTTAAACTGTGTGAGTTTTAGAAGCAGAAGCCAAAAATAAGGTAAGAATGCCAGATCGCTTTTTTGCCTTTATCTGATAGGACCAACTACCTCCTGAAGTCTGCATTGTGTGATGACTACAGTGACAATAAAGGCCAGCATACAGAGAACACACAATTAAGCTGCTGGATACAAGAAGTGTTACTTAAGTTTTTGTCTTTCTAAATTAGATAAGAGTCAGTGTTGCGCAGGAAATGAGAAGTGAAAAGAGGATGACATGACAAAAGGTTTTCCTGCCTTGAGTGAAATATGATCACTGGATTTGGATGTTAAGTGAGCCATCAGACATACTGTGACTTTTTCTGAGTTTTAAAATAACAAAACTGAAGTTCAGACTCTGTGAAGTTATAACTCCTTGCCAATTAATCCAAGTTGTTGGGTGCTATAAAACAAGATATTGAACTAATTGAAACCCGATGATGGGAATCAAACTTGCAAAAACAACCAGCTCACCAAAGTGCATTGAAGAACATCCAAAACAATGAAAGACCACTTTTAATCTGAAGCTCAGATGTAAACCTGTTGATTGTAATAAAGGAAATAATCACTAAATTCAGCAGAATTTGTCCTCTGGGGTTCCCACAGTAAGGCTAGCATGGCCTAAAACAGTAATATTTGTATATGGACTTAGTAATTAAATGTGGCAGGCATTATTACTTCACTAATGAGTTATTAATGACCCTGAAGAAAAATCCCTTTCCAAACAGTGACCAAATCTCTGGTGAATTTGAGAGCATACCTGTCCTGTCCAATGTTTAATTCCAATAAAAATTCCTCCAAAAACAACAAAAGCCTTTTGGCAAGCCTGTCCAGAACAATCTAGCCGGCAGAGCTGAATGACCGAACAGTTAAGTTATTTACTGTGTTGGAAATGTGCTGTACATGGCAACACTATGATGTAAGTAACCCACATTCTTTAGGAATCCCTACAGACCTTTACACATCTGGACTGTGGGATCTTAGAAAGCCTTTCCTTTTATAGTTGTTCACGCTCCCTGGTTCTATTTTTGGTTTTTGTGATTTGAAAACAACATAGGTGCAAAAAAGTGTGAGAATTGTGACCGAAGCATGCCATTTGTATGAAACAGCGTTTGTTATTGGCTGCAGAGAAACTCGGATACGGAGCAAAGAGATGATAATCGTTTCGGACAAGCGGACAAGCTCACACGTACACGCTTTCCACACTTTTTATCATCTCCCTGCTTGTGTGGCATTAGATTCTATTTGTTAAATGTAATCCTTGGTGTTTGGGCAAATTAAATGGGTTACATCCTGCAAAGAGGTGAAAATTATGCCCCATTAGCACCGACAGATGACTCACAAATCCCACAAATTCTGCTAGGAGCCCGAAACATAGTCACCAATAAATTGCTGTGTTTGTAAGGTGATGTAAATGGCTTTGTCTGCTCATATAAAAAGAACTGTGCAACTTTATTTTATCAATAATACCCACTGTTTTTTATAGCAGAATATTTATAACAGGCACAGAAAAACCTACAATATTAAACACATTGCTTTTGCACACTATGAACAGGGGTATATGTACCTGCTGGAGGTGCGACTGGAGGAGTCGGGCCAGGAGCTGGAACTGGATTTGGACCAGGAGGCATTGGGACAGGATTTCAGCCTGGAGGAGGTGGACCAGGAGGCACTGGTACTGCTCTAGGAGGCTTTGGACCAGGAGCTGGTGGAGGTAGGTTTGAGAGTTTCTCCCCAAGTTTTACTGAATCTGACTGCAGCTGCACAGAAACACTGGCTGACATGTTTCAACTTATCCTTAACCCGCTACAGGTAATCAGCATTCCTTTCAGATGCAGTTGTTCTCATAAAAATAGCTAAAGATTTAAGATTTATCGTCAATTACACAAGCACTATTTTTCAAATGTTCTATACCTTCTGTTTAAATGAAATCAGTTACTGGAGGAGTTCCAGGTTACAAGCCATGAAAAGCTTTAAAAGCTACGCTATGTTTTCATGTCTCACCAATAATGAATTCCTCATGTTGCGTTCAACAACAAGAACAAAATCTGGCCATAAATTTGCCTATGATGTTTGGCTGCTTTTCAGCTTTCTACATACACATGTCATCCACATCAATCTTTCTTTGCTTTCAACTCACAATCACTCTATTCCTCAGGGGGCTATGGGGGTCAAAGGCCAGGTGGTGTAGGCCCAGGAGTGGGACCAGGTGGAGTGGGACCGGGTGGAGTTGGACTGGGTCTGGGACCAGGAGGAGTGGGACCAGGTGGAGTGGGATTGGGTGGAGTTGGACCAGGTCTGGGACCAGGAGGAGTGGGACCAGGAGGTTTTAGGCCCAGCAGCTTTGGTCCTGGAGGACTGGGACCTGGAGGCGTTGGGACTGGTAAGACAAATATAGTCGTGAGATATTTTGTTTGCTTCTTGATTTATTGATTGATTTAATTATCTGCAAAGAGCAACATTTTTCCTTCTGTTACTTTTCACCTAACTGTCCTGATTACTTTCCTCTTAAAGGTGTCAAGCCTCCAAAAACAGGTAATATGTTTGTTTTTTCAATAAATCTTCAAATGTCATGAAATTTATGCAACAAAAACTCAACTTATAGATCACTCTGATGGCTCTAAGAGTTCAAGGTGATTTCTCCTTTATTTAATTAGGAGGCGGCTATGGTACTGGTGGAACAGGACTAGGACCAGGCGGAGTCGGGACGGGTGGTTTTGGAGCAGGTGGTGTTGGTCCTGGTGGTTACGGAGCTGGGCCTGGAGGAGTTGGTCCAGGAGGTTTTGGAACCGGCACTCAAGGCATATTCATCATGATTTTTTTTTCTTTTTTTTTTTTT